AGAGAAGTGTATCGTTTCACACGTAGGCTTTCACGTATTATGGAAATGTATCGTAGTGTAGTGTATGGTGTAGGTAGTGTATAGTGTAGTATGTAGTGTATAGCGTAGTATGAAGCGTATGTTGTGTATAGTGTATAAAGTAGGTAGTGTATAGTGTAGTATATAGTGTATAAAGTAGATAGTGTATAGTGTAGTATGTAGTGTATAGTGTAGGTAGTGTATAGAGTATGTAGTGTATAGTGTAGTATGTAGTGTATAGTGTATGTAGTGTATAGTGTAGGTAGTGCATAGAGTATGTAGTTTATAGTGTAGTATGTAGTGTATAGTGTATAAAGTAGGCAGTGTATAGTGTAGTATGTAGTGTATAGCATAGTATTATGTTGAACTTCTTTCGCACAGTACATAGCCCACCACGCTCATCGGATGTTCGAGTGCTGGACGAAGACCAGAGGAAGGCGCGAGAGCAAAAACGCTTACGGCGTAAGAGAGACGCACCATCCGTGTATGTCGAAGTAATTGTAGTTATTGTAGTGAGCTCGTAACTCGATCTCTTCGTAAGAGCCGTTGCTGCGGGTTATTCAATCACTCCGCATGTAGCAGCCAATCACCTGTCAGCAACAACACGAGATGGCCACGATAGAATTCGACGATATTGATCATTCACTTTCTTATTTATCGTGCAATTTTATCAATTATTCTTGGTTACGAGCGACTTCTGAGTACGTAGTTCAGAACGATGCGGTCACGATCGTGGGTTTCAGTTCATTGAATTTGTTTCAAGGTTGATGATCCCGGATTAGCCAGTTGCCCGGCTACTTTACACGGGGGATCCGTGATCCTGCGTGAGCTACAGCAGCAACGAAGGAAGACGCGGAGTTGTTTTTAAGGGGGGTTTTTTTGGTTATAAATATTTCTTGTCTGGTATTAGGCGCCCAGTACCGATACTCCTATAACAATCTCAAGGTGAGAATAATATCGAATGCCTGCGCAGACAGTCACTGACATCAGGAGGCCGTGGATTGACGCCCTGCTTGTTTGACGTTCCACGAAAGGGCTCCCGACGAAGGCGTAAGCAATGTCGGCAGCGTAAATGGCGAATGACCGCGACTGGGGCGATTTTCATCTTTGCAGTTTCAAGGTCGAGGGGGCCCAAATAAAAAAAACAAAAACAAAATGCCGAGTCGCGAGCCCCCCCTTTGGGCGTGCACACACCCCGGGGGGGGGGTTGGACAACGCGCGGGCCAAGACGCCGTTCGTGTCTCCCACAGCCGTCCAGTGGCGGTGATTTGGTCCACTCGGGGCCAGGTAGGGCCCTGTGCAGAATACCCACGTACGTTGAACTTCTTTCGCACCGTATACGTAGCCAACCGTGATAATCGCAGAGGTGCCCGGAGTGGGGCGGAAGGACAACAAACTAAACACGTCCATAATTTAGAGGGGTTTGTTGGGTTAGATCGCGTAAATATAAATGAGTCGTTAAACACGCCACCACCCGACACAGCCAATTCGTGACATTTCTCACGTAAACACATGCCAATTCGTTACTAGTTCAGCACACCGGTGTGTTGCAGAGTAAACCCACAACATTTACGATTCGAGTGCGACGTTTCTCCGGTAATTACAACCAGCCTCGTCAAAACATAAACACAACAACAAGCAGGAAATCGGAGCACCTGGAAAGAAAAAAAAACCTACAAGTCTTGCGCGTCCATCCCGTACAGATGGAAACAGATGGCGATTAGTAAATTTGCTGTACTGCCGCCTTCCCCTGGCGAGCCAGGGCACGGTGGCTCCTCGACGCCCACGGGGAAGGGGATTTCACAATATCTGTGTGTGTGTGTCATCCACCAACTCTCGCTGCTGCCTCCACAGTGCTTAAATTACAGGCCACTACTATACCACCACCCCCACCACCCGGCGAATGAATGAACAGCGCTGAAGAGGGAAACTTCCCAATAAGGAAGAACATTGGGATGTATCTTTGTTGTTGTTTTTAAGCGCGATGGGTGGGATTGCACCTCCGATGAGCATGTTTGGCTACGTACGGTGAGAAAAAAGTTCAGTATTTAAAAACTATTTAATATTTTTTTTTATTTTATCTGGTAAAGCCCATTGAGCAATAACGCTGTTTTTCAGAAGCGACCTGACTATCACAAATGATAGCTCAACGAAGCGGCGTATCGTGTGGACATTTATCGCAGCCAATTTAAAATCGACCAAACCGGAGGTGCCGGAAAAAAATCCCCGCGACCACGGGGAGAACACGCAAACTCCAAATATACAGCAGGCGTCAGGGTCGGGATTGAACCCACGACCTTCTGTATACCAGGCGAGGTAGTCAACATCTCCTAGCCACCGTGATCATGATGATGGTGAGAGACATGCACACTCCAAATATACAGGTAGGCGTCAGGGTCGGGATTGAACCCACGAGCTTCTGTATTCCAGGCGAGGTAGTCAACATCTCCTAGCCACCGTGATCATGATGATGGTGAGAGACATGCAAACTCCAAATATACAGCAGGCGTCAGGGTCGAGATTGAACCCACGACCTTCTGTATACCAGGCGAGGTAGCCAACATCTCCTAGCCACCGTGATGATGATGATGGTGAGAGACATGCAAACTCCAAAGACACAGCAGGCGTCAGGGTCGGGATTGAACCCACGCCCTCCTGTATACCAGGCGAGGTAGTTAACATCCCGCCACCGTATTGCCCATACCTTGTAACAAAAAAATTATATAGAAACATCTGTGCCGGGGAGGTTTCGCCTGGCTCAGCTATTCTCGCTGCCCAGTTTGTGCGCTGCCGTGTGCACGGAGGTGATCGTCTGCTGGCGTTGCAAGTTACACCAAGGGTAAAAGAGGGGCGCCTCTTAAAATAAACCCGGCGCGGTATCCTTCAAGGGCGCCCTGGGAAATGTGGTCATTCATTCCTCCTGCGTAATAGGCCGCCCTCTTCTCCCCCTGCCTCGCATTCCCCTTCACGCTCCTCCCCACGCCCCGTACCCTTCTATATTATTACAGCGGTTGTATTGCAGAGGTCTGGTTGATTTATGATAATAATACAAACAAACGGGTAATTTTAAACGGGTAATTTTAAACGATTTTATCAGATTTTTTGGTACCGGTGCCGCATCATGGGACAACGAGCAGTGGGAAGCCTTCATTATTGGCGAACGGCCCACGGAAGCGGATGTCACCGAGTTTTCTCTGAGATCCCTTTGAAGCAGAAGGCAATCACCTTCCCACCGGCTCTCCATATAATGATGATAATATACGAGCACTGTGCAATTCTAATGAGCACAGTGCGATTCGAATATAATCACGTGGCCACCTACAAGGCGACCAAGGGATGGCAGTAAGGCAGTGGATTCTTGAATCCATCCGTGTGGAGTTTTGAATGTCATGCCCTCGTTTCTTTGGGTGCTACACTTTACTAGCCCATAAGCCGATCGCTAATTCATGGAAATTACCAAACAATCCAGTGTAGGGCCATCCTGAAAAATAATCTGGCGACTCGGGGAGGCTTTTCGAGGTTAATAAATACAATTGACTGGGCCTTATCTCCAATGAAGGCCCTAAGCCAGTTGTGGAAATTCCACATTACTTTGCCGAGAACCAGCCTCTCCCCATAGGCTTCACCACACTGCGTGTACAACGATTACTTTCACATGTGTTAGTACGCACTGTACCAAACATCAATCACGCCCTGCCAATAATCAAATACACCGCTCCAATAATCACACTGTGCCAATAATCAATCACACAGCGCCAATCTTCCGAGTGCAAGCCGACGACGTCACAATTCACCAGCATCAACCAAATACTAAAAGAAAATCACGCGAAACAAGTGTATTATTATCGCTGTTGTACACCAGCTTTCCAATAAAACCAGGTACGGTAACACAAACGCCACGCATATGACAAACCAAACAATTCCTCATTTCGTTAGAATTAATTTAACAGGAGAGTCCGATGTTGTCTGCTCGTGGATTCCTAGTTGCGATGCTGGGGTGTGGGGAGAGGTGGCGCGGTGGTTAGCGCACTGCGCCACGAACCTGGGCTACCCGAAGTTCGATTCCCTCTCACGGCCATCACACCAACACAGGTCACGACTACACGAACCGGCCACGGGCCTCCCCTAGGTCCATCCAGCCTGAAAATGATAACCTGGTGCGGTGTGTAGTAAACATCGCCGCTCGGGACACGGGAGGCGGCCGGCCGTGGCTGCTGGCCACAACTCCCTCTCGTGTGCCGGGCCGACCTTCACAGGTGCTACTGCGAACGGCACTTTCCCCCCAAGTATGTAAGGGCTACACGGGGGATCTTTGTCTTTGTACCGGGAATGACACTGAGAGGACCACGTGGATTCGAAGACATAAGCGATTCATAGTAAAGTTTTTTTTTGTCAAATAATATTGGTCGCGAAAGCCTACGTGTTAAATAGACGTAAGCGAGGCACGGACATCGTTTTTGGCTGTTTAGAAGAATGGGGCTTGGGCGGGACACCTCGCGGCAAGCGATGGGTGACCGGGCGGGTCGAGACCAAGGATGGAATAGCAGCCAAAGGAGGGGGAAAGTGCGTGCAAGCGCGAATGCGGAGCGACAATGTCACCTGGTGTACAGGTGCTCGACGCAAGACTGCGAGAGATGGCGAGAGAACGGCACTTGCCCCCAAAAACAGTCTGTCAAGGCTCTAGGTGTGGGTGGGTGGGTGGGAGATCTTTATTTTGGGGTAGGGAACGAAGGGGCGAGGGAGCCGGCGTGCAATGTGAGGACGCTTCGGCGCGATCTCGCTGACGCACGCCTCGAGAGAAACCCCACGCCGTCGGCAACCCGCAGGTTTCTCGGGGAAATCTAAAACAAAGGCGGCCAACAGCTCGCATCGACCGCCGCGCTCCCGTGTTGCACGCTCCTCCCCCACGGAGACGGCGGCTGCACGGAGCGCAGGGGGGGTGGGAGGAGGAGGAGGAGGCGGAGAGCGCAGCCCCAGCAGAGAGAGAAAGCGATGGAGGCTGCGAGTGGACGCCGCGAGTGATTTGCGGCGGTGGTGGCTGTGGCTGTGGTGGTGGTGGTGCACGGGGGGGAGGCTACGACGTTCATTTTCGACAGCCGTCCGATTCGTTCGCCGCGAGTGCGTCGCGGATTTACTCGCAGCAAAGGAAGGGGAGAGGAGAGGAGGGACAGGGGTGGGTGGAGCGGGTGGAGCGGGCGGCTTTTGATTTCGTTGGCACGGACGATGCCGGGCAAATTTTAAATCGAACGGATCGTGACAACTACCCCCCGCCTGCCCCCCGCAAGGCGTCTTGAGCGAGTCCCATCGGCGGCGGGCAGCGGGCGGGGAAGGCAGCGAGGCGAATGCACAAATTGTGTGCGGCTGGAGCCAAGGCCTGTAAGGTGTCAGCTAGGTAGGGGGGGGGTGTGGGAGGTAGCGGAGTGGTGGGAGGCGGTCAGTGACCCCCCCCCCAGCACGACTGAAAGTTGACCACTGAGCCTGCCAGCTTCCCCGGGACACGGCAGCGGCAGCAGCAGCAGAGCCCACGGAGGGAGGAGCGAGTCAGCCGATCAAACCAATTCGCAGCGTCTGTCATCTTTTTTTTTTCACGCAACCGCACACAGCAAGAAGACCAACCCAGCGAGCGAGGGCCAAGCTGAAGGAACAAAACAAAACCCCTTGGCGTCAGCCAGACAGCGAACCGGCCAGAAAATCCAGCCGATCGACCGGATTGCAACCCCAGCAAATTCAGCCAGCCACTCCAGCCAGATAGACGCCCGTCCAGCTGATCAGGCGCCCCAAACCCACGAGCTAGCCAGTCACATCACCGGCAGTCCAGCCGGCCAGCCAGGCAGCCAGGCAGGCGGCCAGGCAGCAACACACGGGGCCGCTCATTGGGCAACCAAAACGTGGAGCTGACCAGGCGGACAAGGCGTGCCGGGCGGCGCAAGGGAGGGAGCTCTGCAACATCGTTGCGACCCCACCGGGCAGGGAAGGGTGTCGTCGCAAGGGCAGGTCGCACAGGTACTGTACGCACGACCACCACCCGCTCTTGCCACACCGCGCACAAGCGTTGTCGCGTCGGTCGGTGCAGCCGCCACCGCGGGCGCAGGCGGTGCAGCTGCGCGTGGCCGCACCGGTGGGCCGGCGGGAGGCCCTCGTTCGCCGGCGGGCGAAGAGAGGGGAGTGTTTTGACGGCGGTGGCGGCGGTGGTGGATCCACAATTTAATTCCTTGCACCACGGGGAGGGGGCCCAATTGGGACACGGAGATCGTAGGCCACGGGCGACAAGGCTGTTGGCAAATGCACAAAGCTTCCTTCGTCTGTGCTATGGGCTCTCCAGAATGGTGTTTACGCTAAGACACGCGGAAGAGTCCATACCAATGTTGATCTCTCCAGAGCCATCCCGGCTGTGATTATGTCATGGTTGTTGGGGGCAATGACGTTTGGAGTATTTGTTTTTGATGCAGTCTGTTACTGCGAGCGATTGTTAAGAGCGGTAGTGGCTGGCGGTTATGGCAAAGCGCTGTGGATAGTTTCAATGATTATGGCTGGATTTTTAGACGATTGTCAGAATTTTATAACATATGGGTGGAGCGATAGGGTAGTTAGTGGACGTGAGTTTGATTTCCGGCCATCAGTGGCACATTGTTTCGTGACGCATCCTTGAGCCTCCTCATCAACCCGTAACGACAATCATGATGAAGTATGTTCATAAGTAATTATAATTTAGTACGTATGTACTGTTATGTACCATGGACAACAACATAATCATCTCCCAAATGGGCTGATAAAATGGATACCGCTTTGTGAGAAGTAAAGTGTGGTTATCTTATGTAAAGTATAATCTCCGCCATAGGAATGTGGAATTTCAACCACTGGCTCATACATGGCAGCGGGAATTAGCATCGCCGGCTGTCTACTTTAACTTGGTAGTAAAGAAAACTGTTAGTAAATATATGAACCATGTTTAAACCTGGACGTTATTATCTGAAATTTGTGTCTTCAAAGAAAACCGCAACCCGAAACACAAACAGTAGTAGCGCGGATGGCTACGTGCGGTGTGAAAGAAGTTCGACGTACAGAAGTTCGACGTACATCCTGCACCTGCTACACAGGTGGCATTATCTGGGCCGGCCAATGTGGGGTTTTTTTAGATTGATGAATGAGAAAACTATACTCTTTGGTTCTTTCGGTAAAGTCACGTAGGTATAAAATAAAATAGATTTATATTTACCTACGTGACTTTACCGAAAGAACCAAAGAGTATGGATCCCTGCAGTCACGAAAACTTCAAATCTAGAATGAGAAAACTTTCAACTGACTTTCAATTGACATTCAGGTCTCTGGTGACACCCACCACCCCCTGCCGTGACCGCCGTACTTTCTAATCCCCTCCCCCCCCTTTCGTGGCGTCACTGGAGTGCTATCGGTGGCGTGCTTGACGGAGAGTTCAAAGTGTTATCGTCTCATCACCATCTTTTTATTCTAATTATAAAGGAGTCTTCAATCGTGTGTGTTCACTGGAGGCATGACGCACAAGTAAACTAACGGTTTGGGACCCAAAACAGCTGAAGGGGCGCTGTAATTACAACAAGGGGTGAACCAACATCATCATATCGAATTAAAATCACAGCAAACGTACAGAGAGCGAATGAACATGACACGGATAATCTCTGTCTTTCTCATCTCGATCTTCTCTGCATCTCCCTTCTCACATCTCACGTGTCTCTTGCCTGAATCTCCCACGTTTCCAACATCTGTTTTCCTAGCTCTATCTCTCGTCTCGCCATACCTACATCTGTTATCTATATAATCTCTTCTGCTATCTCACTAGCAGTTTATACATCTAAAGTGGAGGGGGGGGGGGGGTCCAAAATAAGTTACGATTAGGGCCCCCAATGTGCCAGCACCCGCATTGCTTGTGTTGAACAGCATGGGACACATCATAGGGTTTTTATTTTTAATCTTTCTACGTGATAAGGGCCGTTTGTCTTTTGCGCTGCATCTTTAGTTCAGACGCATGGGACTGGGCTGCGCGTATGAATGACAGTTTAAATGCCACTAGGCCTTTTAAATACCTCTTATTCACTCGGAAGCGAGCCCCCAATGTAGCGGGCAGACGGCTCCTCTGACAACAACAACAGCTGACATTCAAGTGAGCGTCCTCGCAGATGAATTGTAGATACGATCCGCCAACTGTCATTGTTTCTCCGGGATCGTCCCCGTGTTGAGGTGGTGCACTGCCTTTGGATATCGGTCATTCTTTCCGGGACATTAAAAGTGCCAATTTGGTCAGTTGCATGATCTTAATAATAATAATTCACCGCTCAGAACAATGTATTCACATGGAGTTCCCCCCCTCTTCTAATATTCAGAGATTTCCTTCTGCCCATGATATGTCCCGGATTAATTTGTTTTCTCAACCCTAACTGTAAGCATCTGGCCACGGTGGCAAGATGTTTACTACCTCACCTGGTATACAGGAGGTCGTGGGTTTGATCTTGACCCTGATGCCTGTATATTTGGAGTTTGCGTGTTCTCCCCGTGGTCGCATGGGTTTTTCTCCGTGTCATTTAGTTTTTCCCTCCACATTTAAAAACATGCGTTTAGAGTAATTGGCTGCTATACATTTCCATGTGAAAGCCACTTCGTTGAGCTATCATTCGTGGCCAGGTCGCTTCTGAAAAAAAGGTATATAGCTCAGTGGTCCTTACCTGGTAAAATAAAAATTGATTATAGTTTTATTTGATAAAGTTTATTTCGGTCCAGAGTTTGCACGCTCAAACAAATGCTGCTGGAAAATATGGATCCAGAAGGCCTGGAGGTTGCTGATTGTTTGTGGAGAAACGGATGTTTGTCTGGTTATTTGCTTGATACAGGGTAGTCCCCAACTTACGATGGAGATGCGTTACGACGACCCCATCGTAAGTCGAAAATATCGCAAGTCGAAAATGGCCTAGCCTACCCAGGAGTCTTAAAGAATGGTGATAATTTAGCAAAACAGAGCAATTTACAATACCGTACTGTATAAACTATATACTGTATGTATTCATTAATTACAATACTGTATTGCACAGTAACATTTAAAGTAAAAAAACAAGGTAAATTCTTAGCCTACCTATATGAACTGCAATTTAATAGAAAGTTTTTTTCAGGAAACAATCCTATCTGCTATAAAAACTTTTAACATGCATTGAACGTATGTATCGTATCGTGGTAACCCCCGAAATGAAATCGCTAAAGCTATGTATCATACATGCATTGAACGTATCGTAACGTATCATATTCTACTGTACTCACCAAGATTCTGTCCGTCGTCTGCATACTTGAACGATGTTAGGTTGTTGATGGCTACATTAACTTAGTTGTCGGAAGAGGAGGATGGCGAGGATAAAGTTACAATATCGTACCTAGTACGCTGCTGCGTTTGCCTGCCACGCGAAATGAAAAAATATTTTACAATTTTGTCATATCGCTATCGCCATCGTAAGATCAAAATATTGTAAGTCGGACCATCGTAAGTCGGGGATTACCTGTACTCTCTTGGACAAGTCGTTGGTTCACAACGTGTACAACTGACGCCATCACGTGGTGTCAATAAACAAAATGACAGCGAGGGAACCGTCAGACCGAGTGCCGGATTTCGGGTCACAACTGTTGGTCTTGTCCTTTCCCCCAAATGTTATCCCAATTCTATCCCGATTGCGCTATCGGCGGCGTCATACCGTGAGATGAAGTTACCATTCGGATCTCTTGCAGAGCAGTGCAACCCTTCGTGTTGGTGGAGAATGGCGCAGTGGAAGCGGATATCACAGAACTACTTCTGAGATCCCATCAAAGTAAAATCTAATCACCGCCCCCGGCCCAGCCACTAGGGGGTGCTGCGCTTGCCCTTGCCCCCGATTGCAGAGTCGCGTTCTCAACCTGAGACCCAAACCAGAATGTTCAATTCTCATTGCTGCAATGTCGCCAAATACTAAAAAACTAAACTATTATTTACGTTACCAGGTAAGGCCCCACTCAGCTATATATCTCTTTCTCAGAAGCGACCTGGCTATCACCAATGATAGCTCAACGAAGTGGCTTATCACGTGGAAGTTTATTGCAGCCAAATACTCTGTGGAGGGAAAAAAATACGGAGGTTCCGGAGAAATATCCCCGCGACCACCGGGAGAGAAACATGAAAACTCCAAATATACAGCGGTCGTCAGGGTTGGGATGGAGCCCACGACCTCCTGAGGTAGTCAACATCTCGCCACCGTGGCGCCTCAAATGAAGCACAGGAACCAACTTTTTATATGATGGGCCGTTTTATTGTTGTTGTAAAGTACAATCATTTGGCGAGTGGGCAAATACACTCGACTCATTGGATTTGAAAACTTACAAAAAAAATTAGCGTGGCTGGGCGCAGGGGCCAAAAGGCCCAAAACACCAAGCAGCCAGCAGCAAACTGCACTCTTGAAGCTGTAATTGATAAAACATTTATATATATTTGTTGCCTTGAGCAAGATCGTAAGAATTAAGGGAAAAGCGACGATGGGGTGGAGTCCCATAGTAAACCGGCGTGACGAAAGATGCAAACCCAAAAAATATTCACTATCTATTTTACCTGCGGGTCGATGGTTGAACACCGTATGTACGCATGTTGAACTTTGTGTCACACCGTACGTAGCCAACCGTACTAATCGGAGGTGCCGGGGGAAGGACAACAAACTAAGCTAAATACAAAAAGCAGTGCTGAAGAAACAAATAGCAGGCAAATCAGTCGATGTGGTATGGCCCGGCCGTCTGGATTTGTACGAACTGTTTGACGTCGTGATCCGATGGGCAGAGCAACGTCGCACCGTGGCAATGTGCCCCGTTAGTTGACGCTGCGGGTCACCGGCGGATAATGGCTGGAGAAAGTCCAGTAGCAGTAACGGTACAGAACGAGCTGCCTTTTTGGGGGATTTTTCTCCAGGTCCTCCGGTGTTTCACCCTCCGCATTCAGAATCGACATGCGTTTAGAGTATTTGGCTGCT